AACAAACAATAACGATCATAAATTGTGTATTAAATAAAATACCATCACGATCTAGACCGACAAAACTAAAGAAAAATTCATCTCCTCAATTGTTCACGGCTTAATACAACAATTCAGTTCAGACAACAAAGCCTTTTAACAATCAATAACGATCATAAATTGTGTAATAATTAAAACACCATCACGATTCACGATCTAGATTCTAGATCGACAAAACCAAACAAAAATTCGTCATCTCCTCAATTGTTCACGGCTTAAATACAACTTAATTTCTCGGAGTAGTGAGGTAAAGCCCGTGAAGTGCCCAGGAGACTTCTGTGCTTCTGGAAGGAGCTAGACTGGCTAATAATTTATAATTACTATGGGGTCAACACATTCTGACAACTCAGGCATACTAGCCAGATATTTACGCAATCATTCGTGGCACACATATTGGGACCATCCCCCAGATAATGGCACACAAATGTAACGATCATTCAATCATACTTTAGTGATCTTACATGGACCATTAAATTTTTCCGTTAACTTGTTAATTATACGTTAAAACGTATTTCATCTCTTTTGCCTGCTCGTCCATCCTACTTTTAGCTATTTGTCTTACTTCTATCAAATCCTGATTCTCGCTAGTATCAAGATCTATAGCTAGATAGTTCACTCTAGGCGGACACTTGTAACAGCCAAATAATAATTGAAACGGACTCTCACCCGTACTTTTCGAAACTGTACAATTTAAGGCTAATTAAACTTTACCGATAACAGATTTCCAAGACCCGTTTTCATCATTTTCAGGTATTGTAAAATAATTAGTTATAACGGACATAAGACGCTCTACTTGCCCTTTAGCACGACTGACGCCACTGGCGATTTCATGTAATTTAATAGACCATTCTTTACAAAGTTTTTTAAAATCTTGCCCCTTGAATGAGGTGCCCTGATCTGATATAATACGCTTAGGTGTTCCGAACATATGGACAAAGCTTTTAAGGGCTTCGCAAGTAGATTTCGAAGTTAAATCTATGACAGAAGTTGGGTGACAAAACTTTATGAATGCGTCAATAATGACAATCACATATTCTTTTGTGATCCTACCACCAATTAATTTTCCGCTCGTGTCTATGTGTATGGTATGAAATGGTATGTTTTAGTTCACCATTAAACCTTTGGATTAATTGCTAATGAAAATATTTGGGGACTATGACGCTACTCAAAGTTTTGCTATCAACTTGAAAATTACAAAAAACAACAAATTATTGTCTTTGTATAAGACGACCGAAGGTTAGCTTCAATAGTATCTTTTCTATCAATTATATAATTCAATTAACGTCAGATTCTAACTTTTGTTCGGCTTACAACCGTTCATTACTCACACGCGAAGCATTTACTTCCTTGCAATTATGAGGGTTACGGCACAAGTAATCTACGTGTCGAATTCGAATTGAATCGAATTGTACGAATCCTTTCAAGCTTTCGGTACTCTATTTAGTAATAAACGCAGTCTTTTAAACATCGTCCTATCATCTTATTAATATCTGATAAAATCTAAAGGCCACGACTAAATTGGAGAAAGATAATGCTCGCACAAGACCATCAATTTGTTCCGATATCAATGGCAATGGGCAACTGTCACGCACGGTATTGGAGTTAAATTCCCGATAATCAACGCAAAGACGGTCGGACCCGTCTTTCTTCTTAACAAGAAATGCAGGGCTAGAAAAAGGCGAAGAGCTCGCAGTGGACTTTTCGTTCCAAATCAGTAATAATCTCACGCATTACGCTACGTTCAGAAGGAGCCAACCTTTACGGATGACGTTGTACAATTTTGTTAAGATATTTTTAGATTAATTTGTAACGTAATTTGTATTAACGATAGTATTAGAATTTCCACTAGTAAAATTTCCTATATATTTTGTCACAATAGCCCTTAGTCTTTCAATATCGTTACGCTCAGTTAAGTCGGTGCAAATTTTACCCAACTCTGTACTTATGCTTAAAGCACGACACGCTAGCATCGCGTAAAATCTTAGCGCCGTCGCTATTAAGGGTAAACATCAAACAAGGTGTTTTTAATATCTCTCTACCTAAGATTACGTCATACTGCAGCAAATGTGAATCAACAATGACAAACGTTATTTCGGTATGGAACTCTACAAACTTCTTTTTAATCAGGGAACATCCTGAACCACTGTCAATCAGTGCTTGCAAAGTATAACTGCCTTATGCAAATTTTGATTAGAGGATGTACAAACGTTGACCAATTTTGATTGTAAATTGCAATCGATAAATTTTTATTCTCGTTAAATAAAATAAATAAATCAGTGGCGCTACAGCCTACAGGCCTTCAGGCCTCAGATTCTGAACCCGCCCCATGATCAGTTACATTATAAAACAAATAAAATTAGAATGTCCAAGTTTGTGGCAATATGAACATCGCATTCTACTAACTATTGGCTGTTCACTAGATTTATCAACAGACGTGCGAGGGTGGGTACCATCATTTTTATTTTTATACGTAAAAATAAACAATGTCGTTTCAAATGTCCTAATCAAAAAAATGGCAACGACCTGTAGTTAACTCGCATATTTTAGGGTGCTTAGAAACATTATATTCACCACGGACCTCACATGTGAATTTCACTTAAGGTTTAATGTTAGGCTACGTATTCAAATGTGACACAAAACTCGTCGGAGTATTTTTTAAGTAAATCTGTGCGTACCTTAACATCACAATTTTATTGGACTCTCCCAAACTTGTCCCCAGCCGGTCGATCAGTACCATTTTGTTGGTGGAATACCTATTCAATGTAGGTCACCGCGTGGTCACTCGAATAGTCGACCATATCGCGAAACAAGTCGTGAAACGGCCTTATTCCAACACACTGAAGAGCAAGTCGGTCCTTAAACTCTTCCCATGTACGAACACAACACACCACACCCACAACGGGTACGAACATGGAGCCCACGACAACAACAGAACAAACGACGGTAGATAAATCTCACTAGATTTTAGCGTCCTTTTATCACCCACACTCGATGGTTTCTCTTTTAGAAGTTCTAGGTATTTTGGAAGCCTGCCATCATATTTTGAAATTTACTCCATAATTAGGTGTGAAATATTCACGATTTCCAGTAGCATGCATTGCGGTAGGCACGCAGGATGAATTTTGTATCGATCCCACTTCTGATGTCGGAGGTTCAACGCGATTAATAATTACAAAGTTGGTATCACTACCGTCGTCCGACATTATTACTTAATATTTAAACACAGTCAGTGCGCACGTCCGGCGCAGGCGCCGATCGGAAAGCAACTCAAGCTCTTCACGACCGATTCTACGCACTACTGACAGCTTGACTTTGACAATTGACACTTTACAACCTGTAAGATGTCCATGATATTGTGTTGCCATTGCGTGGTGTTGCCATTGTAATCAAACAAATTACACCGTGTTCTATTATAACCTAATCACTGACATATATATAGTACATATAATTTTATCTATAAAGCGTCGTGCATTCTAATCACGGCTGTGAACCAATTTTTCTTTCACTTTATACTCTCTCGTACCACTGGCGTGTGATAGGCACATAGGCTTGAACCCTTATATGTCTATTAAGAAAACTAAATGTTCCAGAAACATACAGAAATCCAAGCCTAAGACACGTTGCAGTTAATTAACTATAAAAAAAACCAACTGGACCGAACAGTGGAGTGACCGCTGTGTCCTTAATTGTATTGGCGACGCCAAGGAATGATAAAAGTAATATTTTTTTAAAGTGCTAAATCAATTGTCTGCGCAAAATATATATTTTCCTGCAGACAGTTTTAGCTTATCAAATGATTTATCTATGATGTCAAAAAATCGCTCATATCGAAGCAGACTAATACTTCCAAGCCTTTGTTCGAAGTTCTAGCCGAGAGTGTAATTAATGTCATCAATCTTCTCGAAGATATTTTTCAGATATTTCTTGATACGATTCTTGTCTTTTAATAAGTTTAGTATTTTATCACCGATTACAAAGCCATTCACTATAGCATAGGCCAATAAAACAAAGTATTTTTGGAATGTTGTCTTTGGTTGACGCGAGTGTTATCTTAAAAATTATTTTACGAATAAGAACGAGAATTACAAGTCTACTAATGAAGTAGTGAAGTACTACTAATGAACATCCATTCTACATCGTTCGACATTAATTAATCATTTTATTTATCGTTATTAGAATCAGAAAATTCTCACTGACATAGTACAATACATCTAATAATAACTATTTATATAATATCCTGACTTCGTACATTGCAATGTACACGTGCTTACAAAGCTTTGTGAACATTTATAGGCCTTTTACTAACCACATACCCTTTTGTAACCCTTACAGGTATTTTAATACCTAAAGCACGTGTACCTTTACATTACTTCGTCTGATGTATTATTAGTAACTAGATATATAACTGAAATAGAAATTCTTTGTGCATTTATAATTTGCTATTGGATTTTACCATACTAGATTATTAAAATATATATGTCAATTGAGAGAAGAGTAAGGTCACACTATCATAATGAAGTTTTTTATTACCATAATTCAATTGTAGTTTGGCTGAAAGCCCACAAATTTGTTTTTCAATGTCTGCAATTTACCAATATTGTATTTTTGCGTAAAAATATATATGGTAAAACGTTTAGAAGTTTAATCTACAAATTATTATTCTAAGTATAACTAAATCATGTATAATTATTTCATTTTTAATTTGATAACGTTTTAATATATTTTAATAATGTGATGATGTAGTGATAAAATAATATAAGAATTGACTATAATGATATAACTCATTATGTAATTGTAACTTCGATTCTACCTTTTAAGACAAATTTGTACGCCATTATGTGTGGCAGAATATGCGAACTTTAGATACCACCATAAAAAATTTGTACCATATTCTTGAAAATAAATTAATATTACCATTATAAATATTATTTAGTAAATTTTTGGTTAACTTTAAAATCAAATTAATCGAGTAGTGTTGGCTTTATCAGTGAGTTATTTTTAACTTTTTCGAACTGTAGCAGTATAATGAGATAGGTTATAAGCAAGCTAAACATTTTGAATGGAAATGATAGGTCTACGTTGAACATGTGGAAAAGTGAAAATGACAGATTGCGAGCTTCTGTTAGTGTGAGTAGGGCCTGCGCGGGTCGCCGGTCTCTTTTTTCTGAAACAATATACAAAATGATTAAAGATATGTATTCAAAACACCAGCAGTGTTGGCCTAGTGGTTTCAGCGTGCGACTCTCATCCCTGAGGTCGTAGGATCGATCCCCAGCTGTGCACCAATGGACTTTCTGTTTTATGTGCACATTTAACATTCGCCCGGTGAAGGAAAACATCGTGAGAAAACCGGCTTGCATAGACCCAAAAAGTCGACGGCGTGCGTCAGGCACAGGAAGCTGATCACCTACTTGCCTATTAAATTAACAAGTGATCAACCTAAATGTTTAAAGAACTTTATTTCTCATTACAAAAAATATTTTTTATTTACATGAGAAATTCAATATTATATACGAACGAGATACACGTCGCCATCAGCTAGCCCAATTTTAGTCTAATGGGCTCATTCTGATGTGTATCTTTAATGCCCTTTTGAACTGATTAATCACGCTAATGTTACGAACCTTAGACGGCAACCGATTAAACAATTGCACACCCTCATACCTAATAGATCTCTTTAAATAATTTGTGCGCGGCTTTGGCAAGATAAGCAAACTCGCTCGACGAGTATTGCGTGTAGTGGTGTATTTGATTTTATTAAATGATAAGTTACTATGTAGAGAGTTATTTAATTTTTTTTTAATAAGGCACACAGAACCAGTTATCGTACATTAGGAAAACCAATAGTTATAATGTATATATTTTAGTATTTCTGATATAAGGCTATAAATAAATAAATAAAATATAGGTAACTTAACTAATAAATTAATTTTAGATACAAAACATACCTAATCTGCCTTCGTAGAGTCTACAAGCAAGCATCTCCCGGAGCCATAGCACCTCTTTGTGTAATCTATCTCCATTCATACATACGGATAGCATTGGACAAAGTTGAACCGTCAAAATGCTAGCTACCATAAGTGTGCCGTCAATATCGAACTGAAATATAAAATAATATATAACATATTCCTTAATAAGTCTCGATAAAAAAAATTAAAGTGTATTTTCATATCAAGGACTGAAATTTATCTGAATTAACCGTATTAAAAATAATAGCGTTCTTATAAATATTACAAAAACAATTTTTCAATTCCATTACGTTGATTAATCACACATATTTGTCCTTTTGATTGTCGTTCCACAACTGAGCGTTTTTAAGGCAGTTTTTGGAACCACCACTATGTGGAACCAGCTGCCCACTGAAGTATTGCCGAACCAATTGGGCTTAGGGTCCTTCAAGAAAAGAGCGTAATAATTCTGGAAAGGCCGGCATCGAACTCGCGAGCCTTCTGACAATGTGAGTGTCCATGGGCGGTATCATTTAACATCAGATGAGCCTCCTGCACGTTTGCCCCCTGTTCTATAAAACAAACATACAAACTAACTTTATAATTTAAATTAATCTATTATATACGCTAATACAGTAATTTACCAAACCTTTTTTGTTAACAACTCCATGGTGATGAAATACAGATCCGTCATAGCAATTATAAAAAGCTCGATAAACATAGACAGCAACTGAAACATTTTCTAACATTATTACTATGTGGAAAAATTGCTATGTGGCAATTCAGACCAGTGTTGCCAACTTGGGGTTTCCCCAAATTTAGGGCATGTGGTCTTGGAGGGTTTTTAGGAGGTATATTTATTTATTGTAAGGGGTTACTTTATAAAATAATTGAAAAAAAAACGCTTCTATACAAATTATATTAAGCTAAGAACCCAACCAACAAACTAAATCAAATATAGAATCCATAACTGAAATATCAAAATGCTCTAATTCTCCATGATCGGAATTTTAGACTTCTTGTATTTTTGATGCATATTTGAAATTACAGTTGGCATCACTGGTTCAGACATAGTCGGGAAAAATTAAAATGAGCGAAACAGCGCAAACCGTTTGATTGTTAATTGTCAACGTCATTTCCAGTCCAACATGTACGCATATAATAAGATATGGTCAAAGTCAAAGTCAAAAATCATTTATTCATATAGGCACACAATGTACACTTATGAACGTCAAAAAAGAAATACATATTAAATGCATCTAATCATACATTTACTGCCAGTCCTCAAATCAAGGGCGTGGAAGGGAAGAGAACTAGCAATAAACTCTCCGCCACTCTTTTGAATCAACAAGTTTTTTGTTTTACACAATGTTTGTAAGGAGCTGCAACCAGTACACCATACTTCCAATTATTATATTGCCGATACACGATAACTTCTTAAGTAATGATAGTTAATTAATAATAATAAAATAAATTAAAACATAGACTTGTCTTCTATCAGCAGGAGGCATGGTGAAATAGAAGCACGCACTAAAGTACTAATTCTTCTAATTCTGTCAATTATTCTAAGGTTTGGTTACTTGGTTAAATACAGTTTTTTTAAATAAATTAATAAAATAACTTACCTGCCATTTTATAGCATGGTTCAATGTATCATATGCTTTTATTATCATGTTAAAATAGTCGATCAACCTTGTAAATTCAAAGTGTTTGCGGGATTTAAATTTGACAGCGTTATCAAGCGGTCTAATCGTTTCTACTTTTGGAAAGGAACTTTCAAATAAAAAATTAACTAACTGCATACGAATAACAAGTGGGTGAAGTAAATGGGCGCAAAAATAAAATCGCATAATGTGAAGGAGTCTCATTGGCAAAAAAATTATAACGAACCATTTTAAACCATAAAACATCTGTTCCACAATTAAAATACTTAGGCAACACGACAAAGAAAATATACACTGTACTAAGTTATATTTTGATGTACGTGATAATTTTATCTCGCAATCGACTACGGTATCAAACAAGGAGATCTGTTGGAAGTAATTACGTAATCGTTTCCACAATAGCGAACACTCAACTATCGTTAAAAAGTACGAACAGTTATACGCAGTTAGAGGGACCGACCAAACATTGTTCGCTAACATGAAGTAATTGAAAACAACCAAAACGAAGGCGGAGTACGCGTATCCGATTTTAATAAATATGCTTTTTATATTCCCAAATAACGCAAGACGATTAAGTCCCAAAATCATTTCCGTTATGATGAACATTTTTGAAATCAAATCCAAGCAATAGGAGCGATTTTTAAAAAAGGAATTCACACGCACTTCCGGTTTCGACATCTTAACTGTGACAAGTTTGTTTCCAGTGTGGAAATATATTACCTTAAACCACTTTAATTGATTGTTTTCATTACTATATTGACTTACACGTACCAAGTGTCATAATAATTTATGTTTAATGGTCTATTTTTGTTTATTTTAACGGTCACCATACATTATTAAATAGCAATTTTATTAAGAAATAATAAAAATACAACTTTTATACAAATGACATCGTTATCGAATCAGATGTAATAAAAAATATAAACACGCTATTTATACTAGAGATAAAGGTAGTCTAAGTAAATTAGGTCGCGCGTTCGAACCCCGATTCAGCAACGGTATTTGCTTTCTTGATATATAATATGTTCAATGCAACATATGCAGAAATGCATCTGCCCCTTTGGGATACGGTGCCAGTACTGTATCAGTTTGTGTGTACAGTACAGTATATTTTTATCTTTGAAATAAATTTTCCTTTACTTTTTGTAATTTATGAATCGATGTACTTTTTTATCTTCGTGTTTGTTATCTATACTAATATTATAAAGAGGAAAGATTTAATTTTTTGTTTGTTTGAAATGAATAGGTTCCGAAACTACTGGACCGATTTCAAAAATTCTTTCACCGTTGGCAAGTCTAGCATAGCCTATGTCACTTGGCAATAGTGTATTGCCAAGTGACATAGGCTATGTTTCATTTTCAAAAAATTAGGGATGCTTACTAAAACTTGAAACTGAAACTTCAGGACACATCACTATCTATAAAAAATGTCGCGACAACATGCGTCTATCGCATACCTATATATAGTTACGTCACAATAAGAGTCCTTTTATTTTTTTTATTAAAATACCACCGCTAGAAAAGGCTCTTTATTCGTACCTAGGCATTGATCCTTATCAAAATAAATACCAACGTTTCACATAGGCTACAATTTAATGGCATAACCACCAAAAAGCATGGTGGATTGGTGTTCTCTTGCCGTTTCTCTTGAATAGTTTACTACTACGTCGTAATATAACAAAAATCTTAGCCACAGCAACGCTTGGCCAAGTCTACTAGTAATAATATATACTATTAGTGATTGTGACTTTTTTTTTTTTTTTTTAAACAATTCACACCAATTGACCTAGTCCCATGCTAAGCTGGTGAAGCTTGTGTTATGGGTACTAGGCAACGAATATACATACATATTATACATAGATAGACATATAAATACATATTTAAACGCCCAAGACCTAAGCACAACACCAAATGCTCATCACATCGATGTTCGTCTCAGCCGGGGATCGAACCCGGGACCCATGGATTCTCAGTCAGGGGTACTAACCACTAGACCAATGAGTCGTCAACATTAAATGTTGTATTATATTTTTCTCATATACCAATATGCCAAGCGTTGGCAAACTTTTGTAAAAAAATAAAATAAAATGCAACACGTTTTTGTATGCGATGTCGATAGTTCTCTCATTATCATATTTTTTTCAATATCCTCTATCCCTATCTATCATTGCAATTGCCTTACAAAAACTTAACATTGAAGTTGAGATCGTAATCGCTTTAGAAGTTACAGAGTATCGAGACTGTCATACAATAAATTGCATACAAAAAATAGAGCAGAAACATCGATTAAATGGTTAGGCGCTCACTGTTCACGGCCGCCAGTTGTTTTACGTACATTTTTTATCGTCGCGCTTTGAATTATACGAATTGGATTGCTCGTTCATTTGTAACTGAAACCCTGTATCAATGTAGCTTTAAAAGCGAAACTATAGATTTTAAAGATGGTTTTAAACAGCTGTGTGTGTGGCTTTCTTGTGCCTTGGAGTCGTGCGTTGGAATCGTCGGTGCACCAATGAGCTTATTATGTGCGCAGTTAACACTCGCTCATACAGTGACGGAAAACATCGTGAGGCAACCGGCCTTTTAAGAAAACAAAGATTACGAAACAGATGAAATGTACGACTGATTTTTAACAGCGTTTATTTACAAACACAAGTTAACAAAATCAATCGTAGCAATACAGCCATGATTTTCTCCACAAATGAACTGGCACAAGATGCAACGCGCTTTAGCTCTACAGTATTATTATATAGATATATGATATAGAAGTATTACAAATCAAAATGCTTGTACTACAATTTATGTTAGTGTAAACGTTTAGGTAATTTAACTGTAACAATAAATACTCTAAATATACTAGTATCTTTAGAGATAGTAGTCTTGGTTCTCAAGAAAACTTTCGTGAGATATTGTTTGTGACATGTATGTATGTGCCCGTATGTCACCATTGTCGTTACAAGGGATAGTTTAAATATTGTGTGTGTGTGTGTGTAATAAAGAGTGGAAACATCAATGTTATGATGTGTACCGCGCGATCTTAAGGTCGCGAGAAATTATAGAAATTCCATACGTCGTCCTATTGGAAGTTACAGCTACCTTCCCAGGAGGCACATGATGAACACTAGCACCACCAGAGGGCACTCGAGTGTTCGCTTTTCTGGACGAACCTCAGACCGAGTCGAATAGGATCGGAAAAACTTCAATGTATAGCTGATTTCACGTTGTCAGGTTGGCACAAATTGTAAAAGTATTTTAATTACACAACAACGTGAACATTTGTACATTAGTATTATTATTTATAATCGTTATCATACAACAATTTATTTTTTATTTTATTTATTGAGAAAGATTTACAGCTTATAACTAATTTACTAACTAAATATAATGTTATTTTTTCTTTAAACAAATCTTTCCTTTTTTTATAGTTAAGTACAAATAATTAACAAGATAGGTAACAATAAAATGAATTTAATAACGCAATAAACTAAGTAACAATTAGTTCAGTAACACTTAGGGTAGTTTAACTTATACATTTGTAAAAATCTTAAGATTCACTATTTATATACATAATATATATTTAATCGTTTATATTTGATATCGATAAGAGATATCGACGACGGACCGACACATGTCAATTACGTGTACGTATCAAAGTAATTTCACACATCCCCTTTCCTCGTGACATTTTACCCAAATTGTGGCCACAATTGTAAATTAGACGAGCATTGGATATGTAGGAATGATGTATGGTTGATTAAATTTTACTTCATGCAATCTTTGTGTTGAAGGAATGTAGAGGAATTTAGATAAAAAATAGAATAAAAATTATAAATAAAATAATAAACATAAAGGCACAAAGGACCTAATTTATTCTCGAATTACAGAAAACCACATTAATGAGAGAATTCTCTCGAAAGGGACGAAAAAGAAAATCCATTTATTTGTTGCAAATATCTATTGTGGTCGTTTTAACACTCGAAAGATAAAAGAAACTCCCCGGTACGGTCCCAGTCCACACGACACCTCATTTGTCAGCCCCCGCACAAATTGCTTCGCATTTGTATGCTTTGTTTCTTTGTAAAACGCATTTAAAAAACCCTGTTTTTCACAAATATTTTCCCGTCCCTACTAAAATGATTCTTCTTAATGCAAGGTTCGTTTGAACATAAATAATAATAATAAATAATAAAAACTGTATTTATGACAAACGGGTTTGTGACAGAATTTATGTATAGTAGTCCCCACACTAGGGAGGCCCTGTGTTGTGGGTAACTAGAAAACAATTATTACGTGGTACATTTTTTAAATTAGTTAAACAATAGATGATAATAAAAATAATAATAATAATAGTTATAAATTTAGTATTACAAAAGAAGTGAATGAGTGAGTGTGTGAATAGGTGTGTATGCGCATGTATTTGAGAGTGTAGCTGAAAGTTGTTATGACCGTGCACTGTCTGTGTTAGTTTATTAGAAGTTGTTTCATAGAAGAACATAGTAAATACTTTTGTGGATTCAATCGCGATCGTTTGAATATGAAGGAGGTTATATATACCAAAATAATATCCGAAATTAATTTACAAATATTTTCCACACTATAAACTTTTTTTAGGGTAAGTATCAAGTAAGGCGTTGACTCATACACAATCAGGAGAATTGTTTAACAACACTTCAGAGTGTTAAGGAAAGCCTTTAATAGAGACTGTAAGTTGTGTTATTGGACACTTTCTTATGTTAAAAATCCTTATTAGTAAATTAGGTTAGGCTTAAATTACTGATTAGTCTTAAGATGATGATCCATGATGTCTTAATAAAGACACATGTATAAAAAAACTTCAAAGCGGACGTTACTTGTAGCGAAAAGGTACAAGTAAAGGTACAAGGTACCTATTACCATCAAGATGTAAACGCTAATGATTTCGGTCATCATTAAGTACCATTGAACTCGCCACTCATAATCACGATATATAAAAAATAACCTTTTCTGAATAAAGATTCAAGGTATAAGCT